ATTGGTGCTCAACCACATGACGCCAAAAGGCGTTACACAGCTCAAAGACAATGCACTATAAGTTTCAAGGACAATGCATATATTCATCTTCTTTGGTTCTTTCGGTAAAGTCACGTAGAATGAGAATAAAATAATAAAATAACGCAATAAAATTCTCACGACGTGTGTTATTTTATTATTTTATTTTCATTCTACGTGGTGACTTTACCAAAAGACCCAAAGAAGATGAATCCTTGCAGTCACGAAAGCTTTAAATCGAAATGCATATATTATCGTAGTATGTTTTTGTTCGCATTTTGACTGCAGGTATTGTGGCTAATGCAGTAACATGAATCCTTGTAAAAAAAGGCTTCAGTTTTGTTGCCAGAACAAAGGGGAAAACCCCCTATTATTATTACATTTTGGTACTGGCAAAGGAGGTCTAATGATGTAGATGCTCACCCCGAGCCCTCATTACTTTGATAGTGGCATTGTCTTTGAGCTGTGTGACGCCTTCTGGCGTCATCTGGTCGAGCACCAATTGGGTCGAGGCTCAAAAGAAAGTCGTCCCTTGGTGTGGACCAATCAGTTTCAAGGACAATGCATCATATATTATCATAGTATGTTTTTGTTCGCATTTTGACTGCAGGTATTGTGGCTAATGTAGTAACATGAATCCTTGTAAAAAAAGGCTTCAGTTTTGTTGCCAGAAAAAGGGGAAAAACCCTGTTATTATATTTTGGTACCGGCAAAGGAGGTCTAATGATGAAACGTTATTATTGTCGTCGTCGTCACTTGGAGAGGCATTCCCGGCACACCGCAGAGGGCTGCACCTCACACGGCGAGGCCCGATGAGGATTATCCCTCGTTTTCTTGTTTTCCGATGAGCAGAAGTTACATTTTGAGTGTGGATCGTCTCCTAAAGATTAGTACTCGGGTACCAGACAAACGTTTGGCAATGGTCAACAAAGATGTAACTTCTAAGTTTGCTGGCTGCTTAACACGTTGTAGTAGTGGTAGTAGGAGGCTTTCGCGACCGATATCCATAATAGGGGTGAAGCCAGCCATATGTACAGGCACAATTTCAACCGAGAGGATGGTTATGAGCCCAGCAATCATTGGAAAGATGTCATCAACCACTTTGGTTCGTGACTTGATTTGTGTTTTCTTGTCAACCTCCACCGTCAGCAGTGTGGGTGTGTGGAGCGAGGTGCAATGCTCTGATTGGTGTAAACCTCCTGCCAGTGTTGGTGCCCTCTTCTACATTAACATGAGCTGCCCCGCCCATCTCTAAACCTTAATAAACAGCTCTCTGATTGGTGTAGACCTACTGCCGGTGTTGGAGCCCTCTCCTACATTAACATTGGCTGCCCCGCCCATCTCTAAACCTTTATAAGCAGCTCTCTGATTGGTGTAGACCTACTGCCGGTGTTGGAGCCCTCTCCAACATTAACATGAGCTGCCCCGCCCATCTCTAAACCTTTATAAGCAGCTCTCTGATTGGTGTAGACCTCCTGCCAGTGTTGGTGCCCTCTTCAACATTAACATGAGCTGCCCCGCCCATCTCTAAACCTTAATAAACAGCTCTTTGATTGGTGTAGACCTACTGCCGGTGTTGGAGCCCTCTCCTACATTAACATTAGCTGCCCCGCCCATCTCTAAACCTTTAAAGCAGCTCTTTGATTGGTGTAGACCTACTGCCGGTGTCGGTGCCCTCTCCTACATTAACATTGGCTGCCCCGCCCATCTCTAAACCTTTATAAACAGCTCTCTGATTGGTGTAGACCTACTGCCGGTGTCAGAGCCCTCACCTACATTAACATTAGCTGCCCCGCCCATCTCTAAACCTTTATAAACAGCTCTTTGATTGGTGTAGACCTACTGCCGGTGTCGGTGCCCTCACCTACATTTAACATGAGCTGCCCCGCCCATCTCTAAACCTTTATGAGCAGCTCTCTGATTGGTGTAGACCTACTGCCGGTGTCAGAGCCCTCTCCTACATTAACATTAGCTGCTCCGCCCATTTCTAAACCTTTATAAGCAGCTCTCTGATTGGTGTAGACCTACTGCCCGTGTCGGAGCTTTCTCCTACATTAACATTAGCTCTAAACCTTTATAAACAGGTTTCTCTCAGAGGCTAACCTCCCTGTTCCTGATGACGGCCGCTTGTGTTGCGATAAAAGTGTCGTGATATTTTTAATCACGTTTTTTTCTATCTACGTGACTTTACCGAAAGAACCATGAAACATAATAGAGGTGTTTTTTTTATTTAAAGCTTTCGTGACTGCAGGGATTCATATTCTTGGTTCTTTCGGTAAAGTCACCACCACGTAGAAGGGAAACAATAAAATAATAAAAATATAATAAAATAAAATTATTGTAAAACAATAAAATTATTATTCTTGGTTCTTTCGGTAAAGTCACCACCACGTAGAAGGGAAACATTAAAATAAAAATATAAAACAATAAAATTATTGTAAAACAATTAAATTATTATTCTTGGTTCTTTCGGTAAAGTCACCACCACGTAGAAGGGAAACAATAAAATAATAAAAATATAAAACAATAAAATTATTGTAAAACAATAAAATTATTATTCTTGGTTCTTTCGGTAAAGTCACCACCACGTAGAAGGGAAACATTAAAATAATAAAAATATAAAACAATAAAATTATTGTAAAACAATTAAATTATTATTCTTGGTTCTTTCGGTAAAGTCACCACCACGTAGAAGGGAAACATTAAAATAATAAAAATATAAAACAATAAAATTATTGGTAAACAATTAAATTATTATTCTTGGTTCTTTCGGTAAAGTCACCACCACGTAGAAGGGAAACATTAAAATAATAAAAATATAAAACAATAAAATTATTGTAAAACAATTAAATTATTATTCTTGGTTCTTTCGGTAAAGTCACCACCACGTAGAAGGGAAACGATAAAATAATAAAAATATAAAACAATAAAAATTTTGTAAAACAATACAATTATTATTGTTGGTTCTTTCGGTAAAGTCACCACCACGTAGAAGGGAAACATTAAAATAATAAAAATATAAAACAATAAAATTATTGTAAAACAATTAAATTATTATTCTTGGTTCTTTCGGTAAAGTCACCACCACGTAGAAGGGAAACAATAAAATGATAAAAATATAAAACAATAAAATTCTCACGACGTTTCGACTGCTACACAAGCAATCATCATCAGGTGTGAAAACCACAGTTTCAAATTTTCTTGCTGTGGTTTTCACACCTGATGATGATTGCTTGTGTTGCAGTCGAAACGTCGTGAGAATTTTATTGTTTTATATTTTTATTATTTTATTGTTTCCCTTCTACGTGATTTTTACCGAAAGAACCAAGAATAAGAGGTGTTTTTTGTTTGGGTTAGGTCGTGTAAGTATAAATGTGTCGTTAATCCCACCACCACCCGACACAACCAAACAGTAAGGGTTCATCACGTAAACAAAACGTGGCCAATTATTTACTTAGTTCAGCACTAACTGGTGTGTGTTGGGGAGTAAACCCACAACAACGTTTACAATTCAAGTTAACGTGACGTTTCGCTGGTAATCACAATCAGCAGCTTCATCAGGCGGTTAGCCATATGAGGCTGGTTTTAATGAACTAATTGGTCACGTTTTGTTTAAGTGACAACCCCTACACAAATGAGGCTGTTTCGGGGCGGTGGTGGTCGGTTCAACGACACAGCGTTTATACGTACGTAATCTAACCCAAAAAAACAACCCTCTATCATGGATAATATTGGTTAGCGAAAGCCTCTCCCTTACTACTACAAATACGTGTTAAACTAAATAGCATGTGCTGCCCGTGGTCACGTGCATTTGTCTCCAGGTTATTTCTCTCCACACCACTGCCACAGCCTACGCTAGCACCACGGTGGCTAGGAGATGTTAACTACCTCGCCTGGTATGCAGGAGGTCGTGAATTCGACCCAAGCCTGACAATTAATGCTGATGTATATTTGGAGGCTGTGTTTCTCTCTCTCTCATCATCATAGTGGCTAGGAGATGTTAACTACCTCGCCTAGTATGTAGTAGTTTATAGTAGTGTAGTAGTATATAATGTAGTGTAGTAGTATATAATGTAGTGTAGTATATAATGTAGTGTAGTAGTATATAATGTAGTGTAGTAGTATGTAATGTAGCATAGTAGCATATTGTAGTGTAGTTTACAATGTAGCGTAGTAGAATATAATGTAGTGTAGTCATATATAGTTTTGTAGTAGTGTAGTAGTATACAATGTAGTGTAGTAGTATGTAATGTAGCGTAGTAGTATATAGTAGTGTAGTATATAATGTAGTGTAGTAGTATATAATGTAGTGTAGTATATATTGTAGTGTAGTAGTATATCATGTAGCGTAGTAGTATATAATGCAGTGTAGTCATATATAGTTTTGAGTAGTGTAGTAGTATATAATCTAGTGTAGTAGTATGTAATGTAGCGTAGTAGTATATAGTAGTGTAGTATATAATGTATCGTAGTAGAATATAATGTAGTGTAGTAGTATACAATGTAGTGTAGTAGTTTGTAATGTAGTGTAGTAGTATATAGTAGTGTAGTATATAATGTAGCGTAGTAGTATATAATGTAGTGTCGTAGTATATAATGTAGTGTAGTAGCATATAATGTAGTGTAGTAGTGTATCATGTAGCATAGTAGTATATAATGCAGTGTAGTCATATATAGTTTTGAGTAGTGTAGTAGTATATAAAGTAGTGTAGTAGTATATGATGTAGTGTAGTAGTGTATAACGTAGTGTAGTAGTATATAATGTAGTATAGTAGTATATCATGTAGCATAGTAGTATATAATGCAGTGTAGTCATATATAGTTTTGAGTAGTGTAGTAGTATATAAAGTAGTGTAGTAGTATATAATGTAGTGTAGTAGTATATAACGTAGTGTAGTAGTATATAATGTAGTGTAGTAGTATATAGTAGTGTCGTATATAATCGTGTAGTATATAATGTAGCGTAGTAGTATATAATGTAGTGTAGTCATATATAGTTTTGTGGTAGTGTAGTGGTATGTAAAATAGTGTACAGTGTACAGGAGTAAATTTGGGACTTGCAAACAGATCAACTTACAAACACAGACCTCTGGTACCCGACTCGTGCGGCTGTTTACATCTCCACTGACCGCTGATTTCCCGCCTGTCCGCCCCGCATCTCGACATTGTTGTTCTTTCAGGAAAGGGCTTCTGCATCAACTATTGGAGCGTGAGGCCCGTCACGAGCACCAAGGGTGAGTCTCGACGAGCAGAGACACCTTCATGTCGCGGTCTCAGTGGGGGTAATTTTTTAGTTTTACTTGGTTACGGTAACCTGGTTACGGTAACTTGGTTATGGTAACTTGGTTACGGTAACTTGGTTACTTTGTTACGGTAAACTTGGTTATGGTAACCTGGTTACGGTAAACTTGGTCATGGTAACCTGGTTACATTAACCTGATTACTTTGTTACGGTAAACCTGGTTATGTTAAACCTGGTTACAGTAAACCTGGTTATGTTAAACTTGGTTACGGTAAACCTGGTTATGTTAAACTTGGTTAGAGTAAACCTGGTTATGTTAAACCTGGTTACGGTAAACCTGGTTATGGTAAACTTGGTTACGGTAAACCTGGTTATGTTAAACTTGGTTATGGTAAACCTGGTTATGTTAAACTTGGTTAGAGTAAACCTGGTTATGGTAAACTTGGTTACTGTAAACCTGGTTATGTTAAACTTGGTTACGGTAAACCTGGTTATGTTAAACTTGGTTACGGTAAACCTGGTTATGTTAAACTTGGTTATGGTAAACCTGGTTATGTTAAACTTGGTTAGAGTAAACCTGGTTATGGTAAACTTGGTTATGTCAAACCTGGTTACAGTAAACCTGGTTATGTTAAACCTGGTTATGTTAAACCTGGTTATGGTAAACCTGGTTACAGTAAACCTGGTTATGTTAAACCTGGTTATGGTAAACCTGGTTATGTTAATCTTGGTTACAGTAAACCTGGTTATGTTAAACATGGTTACAGTAAACCTGGTTACAGTAAACCTGGTTATGTTAAACTTGGTTACAGTAAACCTGGTTATGTTAAACTTGGTTACGGTAAACCTGGTTATGGTAAACCTGGTTACGGTAAACCTGGTTATGGTAAACTTGGTTATGGTAAACCTGGTTACAGTAAACCTGGTTATGGTAAACTTGGTTATGGTAAACCTGGTTATGTTAAACTTGGTTACAGTAAACCTGGTTATGGTAAACTTGGTTATGGTAAACCTGGTTATGTTAAACCTGGTTATGTTAAACTTGGTTAGAGTAAACCTGGTTATGGTAAACTTGGTTATGGTAAACTTGGTTATGGTAAACCTGGTTATGTTAAACCTGGTTACAGTAAACCTCGTTATGGTAAACCTAGTTATGTTAAACCTGGCTACAGTAAACCTGCCATCTGCCGTCTGCTGTCTGCAGCCTGCGGTGTGAAGGAGTTCCAGTCACCGGCTCCCTGGGCGGCTGCGGTGATGCAGTACAACGCGACGCTGTGCCACGCGACGCTTGTCAAGCCCTCCTGGTTCCTCGCGACCGCCGGCTGCGTCAACCTGCTCGTAAACAGGTCGGGGTGCAGGCCGCGGTGTGAGTCTATGGGTCTCCGTGTGAGTCTATGGGTCTCTGTGTGAGTCTATGGGTCTCCGTGTGAGTCTATGGATGCCTGGGTGAGTCTATGGGTCTCTGTGTGAGCCTTTGGGGCTCTGTGTGAGTCTATGGGTCTCTGTGTGAGTCTATTGGTCTCTGTGTGAGTCTATGGGTCTCTGTGTGGGTTTTTGTGTCTCTGTGTAAGTCTATGGGTCTCCGTGTGAGTCTATGGGTCGCCATGTGAGTCTATGAGTCTCCGTGTGAGGCTATGGGTCTCTGTGTGAGTCTATGGGTCTCTGTGTGAGTCTACTGGTCTTAGTGTGAGTCTATGGGTCTCTTTGTGAGTCTATGGGTCTCTGTGTGAGTCTATGGGTCTCTGTGTGGGTTTTGTATCTCTGTGTGAGTCTATGGGTCTTTGTGTGAATCTATGGGTCTCTGTGTGAGTCTATGGGGCTCTGTGTGAGTCTATGGGTCTCTGTGTGAGTCTATGGGTCTCTGTGTGAGTCTATGGGTCTCTGTGTGAGTCTATGGGTCTCTGTGTGAGTCTACTGGTCTTAGTGTGAGTCTATGGGTCTCTTTATGAGGCTATGGGTCTCTGTGTGAGTCTATGGGTCTCTGTGTGGGTTTTTGTATCTCTGTGTGAGTCTATGGGTCTTTGTGTGAATCTATGGGTCTCTGTGTGAGTCTATGGGGCTCTGTGTGAGTCTATGGGTCTCTGTGTGAGTCTATGGGTCTCCGTGTGAGTCTATGGGTCTCTGTGTGAGTCTATGGGTCTCTGTGTGAGTCTACTGGTCTTTGTGAGAGGCTATGGGTCTCTGTGTGAGTCTATGGGTCTCCGTGTGAGTCTATGGATCCCTGTGTGAGTCTATGGGTCTCTGTGTGGGTCTTTGTTTCTCCGTGTGAGTCTATGGGTCTCCGTGTGAGTCGATGGGTCCCTGTGTGAGTCTATGGGGCTCTATGTGAGTCTATGGGGCTCTGTGTGACTCTATGGGTCTCTGTGTTAGTCTATAGGTCTCTGTGTGAGTCTATGGGTCTCTGTGTCGGTTTTTGTGTCTCTGTGCGAGTCTATGGGTCTCCGTGTGAGTCTATGGGTCTCCATGTGAGTCTATGAGTCTCCGTGTGAGTCTATGGGTCTCTGTGTGAGTCTATGGGTCTCTATGTGAGTCTACTGGTCTTTGTGTGAGTCTATGGGTCTCTTTGTGAGTCTATGGGTCTCTGTGTGAGTCTATGTGTCCCTGTGTGAGTCTATGGGTCTTTGTGTGAGTCTTTGGGGCTCTGTGTGAGTCTACTGGACTCTGTGTGAGTCTATGGGTCTCTGTGTGAGTCTACTGGTCTCTGTGTGAGTCTATGGGTCTCTGTGTGAGTCTATGGGTCCCTATGTGAGTCTTTGGGGATCTGTGTGAGTCTATGTGTCTCTGTGTGAGTCTGAGTCTCTGTGTGAGTCTATGGGTCTCCGTGTGAGTCTATACGTCTCTGTGTGAGTCTATGGGTCTCCGTGTGAGTCTATGGGTCCCTGTGTGAGTCTATGGGGCTCTGTGTGAGTCTGTGTCTTTGTGTGAGTCTATGTGGCTCTGTGTGAGTCTGTGTTTCTGTGTGAGTCTACTGATCTCTGTGTGAGTCTATGAGTTTCTGTTTACGTAAGTCTGTGGGTCTCTGTGAGTCTATTGGTCTCAGTGTGGTGAGTCCATGGGTCTCTGCTGTGTGAGTCTATGTGTTTCTGTGTTAGTCTACTGGTGTCTGTGTGAGTCTATGGGTCTCTGTGTGAGTCTATGTGGCTCTTTGCGAGTCTATGGGTCTCTGCTGTATGAGTCTATGGGGCTCTGTGTAAGTCTGTGGGGCTCTATGTGAGTCTATGGGTCTCTGTGTGAGTCTATGGGTCTCTGTGTGAGTCTTTGGATCTCTGTGTGAGTCTATGGGTCTCTGTATGAGTCTCTGTGTCTCTGTGTGATTCTATGGGTCTCTGTGTGAGTCTATGGGTCTCTGTGTGAGTTTAATGGTCTCTGTGAGTCTATGGGTCTCTGATGTGAGTCTATGGGTCTCTGTGTGAGTCTACTGGTCTCTGTGTTAGTCTATGGGGCTCTGATGTGAGTCTATGGGTCTCTGTGTGAGTCTATGGGTGTCTGTGTGAGTCTATGGATGTCCATGTGAGTCTATGGGTCACTGTGTGAGTCTACTGGTCTCTGTGTGATTCTATGGGTCTCTGTGAGTCTATGGGTCTCTGATGTGAGTCTATGGGTCTCTGTGTGAGTCTACTGGTCTCTGTGTGAGTCTATGGGTCTCTGTGTGAGTCTATGTGTCTCTGTGTGAGTCTACTGGTCTCTGTCTGAGTCTATGGGTCTCTGTGTGAGTCTATGGGTCCCTGTGTGAGTCTATGGGTCTCTGTGTGAGTTTATGGGTCTCTGTGGGAGTCTACTGGTCTCTGTGTGAGTCTATGGGTCTCTGTGTGAGTCTATGGGTCCCTGTGTGAGTCTATGGGTCTCTGTTTGAGTCTATGGGTCTCTGTGTGAGTCTATGGTTCTCTGCTGTGAGTCTATGTATGTACGTTGAACTTCTTTTGTACGTAGCCAACCGTGGCTAATCGGAGGTGCGCCGGGGGAACTAAACACAACAAATATAGACCGTGAGAAGAGAGAAAGAGACGCAGATTACAAATATACATCAGGGCTCAGGATCGTACCCACGACCTCTAGCATACCAGGCGAGGTCGTCAACGTCTCCCCAGCCACCGCTGCACAGCAACAAAAGTTTGTCGTGAATAAAGACGTCGTTGGCTGCCGCCGATTTCAGGAGCGACCCGCAGCCCCCGAGTGTCCGGCTGAGCGGTGGCGTGGACCTGCGGGTGCTGAGCTACACCGTTCACGACCGGTACAACGCAGCACTGCTGAAGGTCGCCACTCCCGTGACCAACAGGAGCCCGGCCTGCCTGCCAGACTACCAGCGGCCTACGCACTACTCCGGGAAGACCTGCTTCATCGAAGGTGATCCCGCCTACTCGCTTACTCCCTCCCCTACCCTCTCTTCTCATCCCCTCTCCTTCCCTCCCTTCCCCTCCCCTACCCTCTTTTCCTTTTTTTACGATAAGAGGAAACAAGAAGATGCTCGGTGTAGTCGGCACTTTGCTTCATTTATCATTTCGTTTTCTTGTTTAATGCTATGCTTTATGTAACCCCCCCCCCCACCCGCCCATTTGAAATGAAAGATTTCACGAAAGATTTCAAGCTCTGCTCTCCTTACCTCTTCCCTCTCTCTCTACCCCCTCTCTCTACTACCTCTCTCTACCTACCCCCTATCTCTACCTACCCCCTCTCTCTACCTACCCCCTCTCTCTACCCCCTCTCTCTCTACCTTCTCTCTCTCTCTACCTACCCCCCTCTCTCTACCTACCCCCTCTCTCTCTCTACTCCATGTCTTTGTTCCCCCTATGTTTTATATGTAATATTTGTAATATTATTATGTATTTTTAACTACGACAAGTGCTGCATCGGCACGCAGCCCTTCCCGCAGTGCTACGGCCTCCGACGGGTAGCTCACAATCTGCACGCAGAGCTCTCTACCGTCATCTGCCACCGAGCCACACGGCCCTCCTCCAGCGTCCTCCGCTCCTTGAAGGGCCGGCTCGCGCGTGGGTCAGCCGCGCACGGCGGAACTCCGGCCCACACACCCTGGCTCCGACCGGAAAGCGCGGAAGACGCCCAGGCCGCTTGGCCGTACGTTTCCCCTCCAGGGCCACCTTCCTCGCCCTGTGCACGGCGAGCTTGGCGTGGCCGACGAGCACGTTGACCTGGCCCCTGAAGATGTTGGGGTCCGTCGCCCTTCGGGTATCCGAAGATGAGAGGACCGTCGGGGAGAAGTGGAGGCTGAACCTTAGGAGGATGTTTTCTCAGGGACCTTGAACACAGCGAGTCCAGGCTCTTGCGCTCCACGTATCGGCGAGCCACCGTCTCCGCTTTACCGCGGGACCGGCGCTCCGGGGACGTGTCGGTGAAGCTTCCGCTCCCTTCCCCTTCCGTCTCCCTTCCCCTTCCCGTCCCCTCACATTGCTTCCGCCGCCGCTGCTGCCCGTGCGTTGGTAACGACTTGGGGGGGTATTCAAAGCCAGGATCATCGGCGCTCTCGCTTCACCTCGGCCGGGTAACATTTGAAACATTTTTGTTCGATTCTCTGCCCTCCCTTCGCGTTGGCCAGCACTCGACCAGAGGCAGATGCAGGTGCAGATGGCCACGGAGGGCAGCTGCGGAGTTTCCAGCATCTCAAGCCAAAAGATCTGCACCCAGCCTCCTAGGAGCTGCGTGGTGCGATTGCCGGTGAGTCTAGAATAGTGTACACTACACTATACACTACACTATACACTACACTATACACTACACTATACACTGCACTACTATACACTATACACTACACTATACACTACATTATACACTACTATACACTACTATACACTACACTACTATACACTACACAATACACTACACTATACACTACACTACTATACACTACTATACACTACACAATACACTACTATACACTACGCTACTATACGCTACACTATACACTACACACTACAATATGCACTACTATACACCACACTACTATACACTACACTGCTATACACTACTATACACTACATTATACACTACACTACTATACACTACTATACACTACACTACTATACACTACACTACTATACACTACACTATACGTTACACTATACACTTCACACTACACTATACACTACTATATATACTACACTATACACTAAAATATACTAAACTATACACTACACTAGACACTACACTATACACTACACTACTATACACTACACTACTATACACTACACTATACACTACACCATACACTACTATACACTACACTACTATACACTACACTACTATACACTACACTATACACTACACTATACACTACACTATACAACACTACTGTACACTACATTACTATACTATACACTACACTATACACTACACTATACAATACACTACACACTACACTATACACTACACTATATGCTACTATATACTACACTACTATACACTACACTACTATACACTACACTACTATTCACTACACAATACACTACACTATACACTACTATATACTACGATACACTACACTACACTATACACTACACTATACACTAAAATATACTACACTATACACAACACTACACTATACACTGCACTACACACTACACTATACACTACACTATACACTATGCTACACTATACACTACACTACTATACACTACACACTACACTATATACTACACTATACACTACACTATACACTACACTATACACTACTATACACTACACTACACTGTACACTATGCTACACTATACACTGCACTACTATACACTACACACTACACTATACACTACACTATACACTACTTTACACTACACTATACACAGCACTATACACTACACTATACACTACACTATACACTACACACTACACTATTATACACTACACTATACACAACATTGTACTATACACTACAGTATACACTACACAATGCACTACACTATATAGTACAATATACACTACACTATACACTACACTATACACTACACTACACACTACACTATATGCTATTTTGACTACACTACTATACACTACACAATACACTACACTATACACTACTATACACTACACTACTATACACTACACAATACACTACACTATACACTACTATACACTACGATACACTACACTCCAGCGCTGTCCTCGAGACAGTCTCGTCCCTTCACCTGATGAAGGCCACTTGTGTTGTGGCCGAAACGTCGTGAGAATTTTATTGTGTTATTTTATTTTTTTAATTTATTACTTTAAGATGAATCCTTGCAGTCACGAAAGCTTTAAATCGATACAATAGACTACACTACTATACACTACACTACTATACACCACACTACTATTCACTACACTACTATACACTACACTATACACTACACTATACACTACACTATACACTACACTATACACTACACTATACACTACGATACACTACACTATACACTACACTACTATACACTACACTACTATACACTACACTATACACTACACTATACACTACACTATACACTACTATACACTACGATACACTACACTATACACTACACTACTATACACTACACTATACACTACACTATACACTACAACACTACACACTACACTTTACAATACTATACACTACGATACACTACACTACTATACACTACACTATACACTACACTACAACACTACACACTACACTATACACTACACTACACACTACACTATACACTACACTATACACTACACTATGCACTCCACAATACACTGCACTACACACTACATTACATACTACACTATACACTACACTACACACTACACTATACACTACACTGTACACTACACTATACACTGCACTACTATACACTACACACTACACAATATACTACACTATACACTACCCAATACACTACTATACATTACACTATACACTACACTATACACTACACTATACACTACTATAGACTACACTACTAAATACTACAGTATACACTACTATACACTACACTACACACTACACTATATACTACTCTAATACACTACACACTACACTATACACTACACACTGCCCCATCACCGATTTGGAGTTGTGGGGGTGGAGTGTCCGATGGTACAAAATACCCAGGCAGGTGCTTAGTTTTGGTGGGGCTGATGGTAAGGCCCCACCTCTTAGTGGCACGCTCCAGTCTCAGCAGCAGCGTCTCCAACTCCTCCTCTGAATGAGCAGCTATTACCAAATCATCAGCATACATAACGTGGTTGAGCAATAGGGAGCCATCCCTTGACCGCACCCGGGCATCGATCAGCCTCCCATTATATCTGTACCATATGGAGACTCCCCCGGTACAGCTATTGAAGGCTTCACGAACTACGTGGTCAAAATAAATGTTAAATAATGTGGGAGCCAGAGGACATCCCTGTCGCACCCAAAGGTGTACAGGGAATGGCTCTGACTCCCGGCCACGTAGTTTTACCCGGGCCCGCTCACCATCATGAAGGTCCTTAATGATCGTGAGCAGAGGGTCAGGTACTCCAAAAGCACGAAGAACAACCCAGAGCCCAGGCCTACTGATGGTATCATAGGCCTTGCCCAGGTCAATAAAGCAGAGATGTAGGTCTTGTTGGAATTCCCTACACCTTTGCTGTAGCAGACGGACAGAAATTATGGCATCTGTGCAGGACCACCCTTTCCTGAAACCGCATTGGGGCTCTGCAAGCCTCTCCTCAGCGTGCCTGGCAAGGCGATGCTGAATAATCCTTGCCAGGACCGTTCCCGGCACACTGAGGAGTGAGATGCCCCTGCGGAACTCGTCCAGTTGTCCAGACTGTTGTTATGATGTCATATAGTGCAGTCTGTGCACAAACGCCACCCTCCCTCAGCATTTCGCTTGGGAGATCATCTCTGCCCGCTGCCTTTCCTGGTCACAGACTACGGATAGCCTTCAGTACTTCCTCAACAGATGGCACCTCAGCCAGCCACTCACAGGGGGTGACTTCTTCCAATATTTGAGGCACCGCAGCCTCAGCAGGGTCATCCTCACTTTGTGCCACGATGTTTTCCTGGCTGAGGGGTTTTCCCTCCCCCAGGACCTCACTGAAATGCTCAGCAAATCTGCAAACCTGTTCCTGGGGGTCGGAGATTGGATCACCGTTTTTTCCCCTAATGATGGTAATAGGTGTGGTGCTGCCGGTTACTTTTTTGATGGAGTTAAATAGAGATTTGTGATCACGGGCCACTGAGGCAGACTCCATCTCCTCAGCAACCCGCGACCACCACCCATCCTTGCATTGCCTCACGGCTCTCCGAACCTCCGAGCGAAGGCTGCGGTAAGCCTCCTCATTCTCTGACGTGGGATTCTGTAGCCGATGACAGTGGGCCTGTCGCTTTTTCTCAACCATCCTGAACACGTCCTCTGTCAGCCAGGGTCTCTGGGGAGGTCTGGACCGCGTACCCAAAGCAGCCAATGCAGCTGCATGAGTCACAGTCCTAAACCTCACCCATTTGCCCTCGACATCAGGAGGAGTCGGGTATGATGCCAATCCCAGCCGCAAGCGATGATGAAATTCTCGCTTGCAACTTTCATCAGATAGCTGAGACCAGGCCACTTTAGGTTGGAATGGGGTCCTGGGTGTACACCCACCACCGGAGTGGAAGAATGGCAGGCGCATCTTACAGATGACTAGTCGATGGTCAGAGGGCAGATCAGCTCCACGGTAGGTCCTGGTGTCAAGGACATGGGCTCGCATCCGCTGGTCCGTCACTATGTAGTCCAGCAGATGTTCCTGCTTAGACCTGTCATGCATCCATGATGTTGTGTGGATGCGCCGATGCCGGAACAGCGAGTTGGTAATTACAAGCCCATGGGCTGCACAAAAATCTAGCAGCCTCCTACCATTGTTATTGAGCTGATCTGGCCCATGCCCTCCAATCACTCCAGACCAGGTGCCAGCACCATGACCAACTCGGGCATTGAAGTCACCCAACATGATGACTCTATCCCGAGCGGCCACTTTAGCCAGCACCTGTGACAGGAGGTCATAGAAGGCATCTGACTCATCGGCTTTGCCTGTATCCCTGCACGGATGTTCATCTTCGGTGGGGGCATATGTGACCACGACCACCATTCCTCGCCTGCGGTTGATGGGAAGGCGAACCCAATGTAGCCTGGGGCTTACAACTTCCCACACCTCACCGCCACGCTCCCACGCCCCCTTCATTATTTTATTCAAAAGAAGAGCCACACCCTGTTGTTTGGCAGTCTGCTGCCCCGAGTAGAGGACTGTCCACCCCTCATGGTGGCAGGAGCCAGAACCGGTCCACCGGACCTCCTGACTGCCACATAGATCCAGGCGGTACCGGTCCAGCTCCCGACAGAGGAGTGGCAGCCTCTCCTCCGCAGTGAGCGTTCGAACATTCCATGTCGCCACCCATAGTGGTTTTTCCTTGTTTCTGGAGGAGCCCCGAGGGTAGATATTCAATCTCCTGGCTCCGCCAATTGGGGTTTGGCCAGGAGATGTCATAGACGCCTGGCCCTCTGGGGCCTCCGGCACAAGCTTATTAGATATACACTTAATTCGCGGTTTAGTGGTAATTAATTGACGGTGGAGGGGTTACCAGCCCCTCGCACCCGTCCAGAGCCCCCGTTTAGCCCCTGTGGTGGACACAGATGCCATGAGGGGAGGAGCCAATCGAAATTGGACCTCCCCCCACAGCACTATCATACACACACTCACTCATACACACTCACTCATACACTCACACAAGTGCTGTTAGCGAGCACCTATGAAGGCCGGAACAGCACAC